TGGTGAAAAATGCCACATTTCCTTTTCTACTGGGACAGAGTGTTACAAAAGGACTCTCATAATTCTAACAGGAATTTAGATGATATTTTAAAATGAAGTTGAGGGGGTATTCAGTATCACTGTGGGGCTCAGTGATTCACTGGAAGGACTCACAATAAGCTGTTATAATCTTGCATATGGCTTAATACAATCGAAGAATACAGATTAAAATCAGCTATGGGAAAAGGCACATGGGGCAAGTCCAGTGGAGACTAGGCTCAGGCTTCCAGGTGTTCTATGCTAGGGGGGCTGCGTTCCCAGCGACAGTGTGTGACAACATATGTAAAAGCCATGTTGCCAGTCAGGGAAGCTCACCCTTGCCTTCATGTCCAGGGCATTTATTGGGGTTCAGTCATGTAGACATGAAGTACTTGTATGATTGACTTAAGCTATTCATACTCTAGCCTCCTAGTACAAAGATAGGAGTTCATCATAAATCACACTGTTAGTATAAACTAACTAATCAAACAGGTACCACATGGCCTAAGGCCTCAGGCATACAAATAACTCTTTATCAGGCAGAATATTACAAGGCCTTAGAGCTCATCTCCCTTGAGCCAGACAAGGGCCAGTCCTGAAGACAGGCCTTTCTTGGAAATGTGTGGGGTTTGAGCCATAGACCTGCTGAGTTAACCCTTTCCTGCATAGCATGAACATGGTATTAGTGCCTCTTAGAGTCATTATTATTAGAGGGTAAATTTATAGGACCTGATGTTGGAGATGATATAAGGAAATACCCCAAGTAAGCATTGTTGTAGCTAAATTCATAAGTTAGTGAATCAGAGTAGGTTACATATGAGAGGCTAAACACATTTTGTGGTGCTTCACCTGAACATCTGTTATGGATGTCATGACTCATCTCACAGAAGTTTGCAGATATTGGGCTAGAAGAGCAGAGGCACTGAACTGCGAGTATATGTGATATTGATTGGAATCAGGAAAGAGGTGGAAAGGAGAAAAGGAGGCCTGGAAGTTGATCTGAGGCAGAGGAATTAGCTCATTTGACTCTGAAGGCCAAGAAATCCCACGATCAACTATTTGCAAGCCGGACTCCCAGAAAAGCTGGTGGGTCAAGTCCCAATCCAAGGGCGAGAGAACACTGATGTCCCAGCTCATGCAATGAGGCAGAGAGGGAATATGAATTCTCCCTTCCCTTCCTCTGCCTTCTTGTTCCACTCAGACCTCAGTGGGCTGAATGTGGCTTACCCACATCAGGAAGAGCCATATGCTTCTCCCAGTCTACTAATTCAAATGCTAATCTTTTCTGGAAACCGTTTCGCAGACACATCCAGAAATAACGTTTGACCAAATATCTGGGCACCCTGTGGCCAGACAAGTTGACACATAAAATTAACTATCACAACTGTTAAAAAAAGAAGTCACATACCTAAAAATCAAAGGGGAAGAGTTGATTACAGAAATAAAGATAGCTGTATCCACAAACTCAAAGAGTTACATTACCAAATGAAAGTTCATGTACATTGCCATTTATGGGACATAGAAAATATATTTTGATCAAACATAAGATTTCCAAAAATTCTATTTAAATTCAGTAAATTTTTTCATCTTTTAAATTTCATCAAGACAGATGTTTCTATGTTTAGGATGTCTTTCTGACTTTTAAGCACATATATATCAGTGTGGTGTATCAGTAAAGCTCTCTCTCTCAATTTTGATGAGGAAATTGTTTTAGATTCATAGACTTCTATTTTCCTCAGATGTGTTCAGTTGCTTGGAATATGTAGTCTGCAAGTTATAAATGTGCTGTAGAGCAGGAAGGAGAAACCCTTGGGATCAAAGGCTTTATATTTGTCAAAGTATTTGATATTTTTAGGCTCTTGAAGATTGCAAGGTTATGAATACACAGTGCTGTGCTCCTATTTGAAAAATAACTTCTTGTGAGTGACAGTTTTGTGAGCACTTCCTCCTGGTATCATGGCCACTTCCTTTCAGTTGGACTGATCTTGGTGTTCCCATTGAGAAGATGATGACTGCTAGCATTTACCAAACACTCCCTAAATCCTTGGCACCCTTTTATGCTTCATGTATATCAGCTAATTTAAGATCACAGAAACCCTGTGAAGGAAGGTATTATTACTTTATCCACTTTACGGAGGAGGAAACAGGATGCAGTGACTCTGGGATTCAACTCCTAGAAGTCTGGCTCCAGCTTTGTGCTGTCAGCCAGCCACTAATCATGTTCTGAGATGAATGGTGATAACTAGCATTTATTTGGAACACTTACTGGAAAGTAGTCAGTGCTTTATAGGTGTTCATCTCATTTAATCTCCCAGCTAGTCTGAGACAAATGTAATTTTTACCTTCATTTTAACTAAAGGAAAAGGTTTAGCTAGTTGGCTTGTCCAGATAATTTAAATAGTTATACTACTATAAGAAAGCTACACTCAGCCCTGTGCCAGGCCTTTTAACCACCTCACTGGTCTACCTCAGAAATCTATGGCTGAAAGAAAAATTTTACCTTAGTTTTTCATGGTTTAGTTTAACTTATATGAAATTGTTTGAGGTTATATTTAGCTATTGGCTTCATTATCTTTATTCATCGTCTTTTTTATGCTTCATATTTTTTAGCCAGTAATACCAGAAAAGTATGTTTTCATGGTTAAAGCTTTTGCTGAGAAAACCATAGCTGCTTTTCTAGACCCTTCCAGCAAATATTTGGTTACTTACTGTTTAGAAAATTTTGAAAAGAAAGATTGCTAATTTTCTTCTGGGGCTAGATATAGTGAGTTAAATTGCTTTGGACTAAGGGAAATTCTTATTCATTTTTATTGTCAGAGTAATGCACTTGCAGTTAAAAAAAACACCTCAGAAACACCAATTTCTTAGATTTTTATCCTGTGGTTTTTTAAGGCAGAGCATAGTTTTTCTTGTTTTCTTTGTAACCTTATAACTAGCATAGTTCCTGGATTTAATAGATGTTTAATACATAACTGGATTAATTTATAGCTACAAGAAATCCTTGCTCTTGACATAGATAGGAAATTGATATTCCAATTCTGGAAAACAATGCATTGGAAAACTTAGTAAGCATAAATTACTACTTCTTTAAAAGATTGAAAGTATCAAGAAGAAATATACTTAATTATATTCACCATTAAATTATTCTGAAAGTATCAGAATAAAAATTCTGAAAATACTTTAGGACGTTGTATTCCAGCACCTTCATCAAGAAAATCAGTTAAAATTGCAATAAAGAAGTAGCAATCAGACGTCCAATTGTTAGACTGCTAGATAAGCTAGAATTTATTTATGCTTTATTTTAGAAAGTATAACCATTCCATTTTACCTTTTAGCCTTTTTTGTAAGCAAAGTACTCCTAATCTTATCAATAACTTTTTAGACCCCCATCTCTACCCTGCTTTCTTTTTGCCTCCATGAAAATGATACAGATTTTACTTTCTTTCTACATACTGTGTAAGACAACCACTCTCTCAAAAGCTGGATCTTAGTGGCTCTTAGTTTTGTGTTAATGTGTGTCAGGCAAAACTCTACTTCTAAATTACCCCCCTAGTTTGATAGCCACGAATTTACTCATTTAAGTAGGCTCTGGTTAATGGGAGATGGAGCCTTCAGACTTGACATTAGACATAATTTAGATTAATTATTCTCATATAAGGAAGTTATACATTATCATTGTTTGTATAGGAAAGAAGTGAGGTTCAGATTATAATATGAGAAAGTGTGTTATCTTTACAAAAACTTTTGGGAACAACATAGAAGTGTTCTTTGATTGTACAGAGCTCCACTTAGCTTACAGACCTAACCTAAGGGTAGTCTAATGTTGAGTGTGAAGGTGTTGAACACCATTATTATACACGGTGAGGTTTTGCTGTGTGGGTTCAAGGTTATAATTACTCCCTCAGTAGTTGTGTAAATTCTTGGGGATTTCATATGCTCTGATTTCATATTGTGGATTTTTGTTTGGAAATGACTTTTTGGAGGAGATATATTTCATTTCACCCTTAAATAAGGAAACAATAATAAAAGGAACCTCATTTTGATTAAAAGCCCTTGGTTTTAAATTTTTCTTTTTTGGCTGAGTCCATAGGCTTTACACATGAGGGAGTATAATTTTAGGAATGATTGTATAGTACCAAAACCATATGTTTTCTCAGGATTTGACATATTTAAGAATAATGTCAGATTTTTTTTAATTGAAGTACTGTTGATGTTCAATTTTATATTGGTTTCAAGTATATAACACAATGGTTCATCAATTATCCTAAAGAATAATGTCACATTTATTTCACTGCAAAAATTTACCAAGGACATACAAGGTTTTATTTTGATATTGAAGAAAAATTATTTTTCAAAAAAATTATCCTAAGTATATATTTAATAAAATTGAAATAGAAAAGTAAGGAGAACTTTAAAAAATATGTAAATTCCATAAATTAAAGTATTTGGAAACAGTAGCATAGTATGTGTGAGACCATGGCAAGATCTTTCTGAAACACTTAGAAATATGTTTCTCTGAAAGGTAAATCCTCAAATACATCAAAGAAGGAAATGTGTAGCTCTTTTAGGATTAGGATATTAGTGCTGTCAAGACCTCAGAGTTTGCCTAAAACCTGATTGGAAACCTAAGGACGGAGGGAACTCGGTTTCTGATGGAAGCATGACCAAGGAAGAATGCTGACTTTTGCAGCGTCTGTACATTTTCCAAGGGAGGGTCTGACATCCAGGGCATTCAGGTGTCTGGGTCTGCCAGCCTGTGCTAGCCCTTCATGGACGTGGGCACATCTAGTGTTAGCATGGGAGGTATTTCACTTTCCTATTGGGTAACTAACTACTGTGCCCATTCATTGGGTTGGGTGAACTGGGACAGCTACTCCTGGGCTGAGCTTGGTGAGGGTGATGCCAGGAGCTGTGGAGGATATACATTTTGCTCTTCTTTCCTAAATAACAGTACAATTCAATTAAAAATATTTTATTCTCAGTTATTTCCCAAGGGCGTCTGTGACAGATGCTGACAACACAGCGTCCTCTCAAGTGCAGTTGTGGTGACCTTGATTGGTTGACTTGCCTCAAGCACAGGGCCTTTCACACGACCTTTGTTCTGATTCCTTGTTCACCAGGTAATTTAATAATTTAACTTCCTGTATTTTCCAGTGAAGCCAGAAAATATTTCCTAATCTGCTTGTATTTTTCATAAATGAATGCACTGGAATTCTGATTTTTATATATTTTGGAGAAGAAGTTTTAGTTTTATTAACCTCATGTGGCATCTCCCAGGATGATCAGCTGAGACACGGATGGCATTGACTGAGCTGAGACCCTGAACTAAGGTTAATTCATCAACTCTGGCAGCAGATGTCCCCTAGGTACTCATGTATTAATTTATTACTAATATTAATTTCCAAAATATTAATTTATTACTAGGAAACAGCTTCCCAGTCAGAGATTATATTTTCCAGCCTTATTGTGTCACCAGGCCTTTCTTTTGAAAAATCTTAGTAAGAAATCATCACCTTTTGTACACCAAGAATTGCTAGTCTTGGGAAGCAATCAAACTCAAATAATAGTTTATTTGTTAACTTTGGGGGGAAAAAACCTCCAACAAATACTTGAAAAATTGTAAGGGTCATATGCTTTTCTTTCCAGTGAGTGCTGAGCTTACTGGGAACGATGTGTTAAAGAGTTAGGAGCACTGCGTTTGAGTTCCAGCCAAGTTTCTAACAAGTGGCACGACTTTCCCCTAACATCTCTGGGTCTCATTCTTTTACTTATAATATTTAGTTTCTTTCAAATAAAGTATTTTAAGGATAGGTTGACATAATCTTGTCTATCTTCTCTTTTTATTAAAAATAACCTTTACTGATCTCTTACTTCAGGTCAGGTTCTGTGATAAATACATCACATATTTAATCTCCCCCTGAAGTTGAAACCATTTTATGGATGAGAGAAAGGAGGCTTTGAGAGCAGAAGTCAGTTGCTTGAAACTGGTAGACAGCAGAGCTGGGATTTTACTCAGTTCTGCTAAACGCCACACCCATATCTTAATCTAATCTAATGTTGTGTTCTTTACACTAGGCACATATTATGAGAACATTTTTAATCCATCTTAATTTAGGACATGTTTTACTTTCTACAGGGTGATCTCTCCTCCTTGTACTTTCTATATTTTCTAATTTCAGAAGAATTGAAAGAACTTTTGCACTACCATGTATTTCATTTATAAATAGTCCCAGACCATTTGGAAACCTATTTCATTTTTGAAACTCAGTGTCCTATTCTAGCTTTCAATTCTTCTCCTTCTCATCATAGTCTTTCTGGACTTTCTTTATTGTAAGGATGACAAAATGGACCCTTAATGTTGAATATTGTTAAAATGTTTTATTAAAGCAAAGAAATTTGACTTAAGATTTAGGAGATTTGGGTTCTAATTCTGCCTCTGAAAATTACTCTAAGATACTGCTACAGTAACAATATATAGTAACTCTTAATACTGTTTTGCCTCATTAAGTTATTGTAAAGTAAAAAATCATTTATGGTAAAAGGTGTTTCACACAAAATTTCTCTGTATGCTACAGTTTTAATGGCTGCAGTGACTATTGGAACCTGAATTAAAGCAAAATAATTTTAGGCTTATTGTTGCTCTGTGGATAATTAGAATGCAGGCATCTTGTTAAGTATTTTTTGTATTATTTGGCTTGGCCTAAGCATAATGCCAAACTTTGACTGAGGCAGATTTATCTAGGGCATACAGGCAAAGAAATGATCAAACTGCCATCTGAATTGTCTTGTAGTAGCAGGTTATTTCTTAAATGACTTATATTGTATTCATTGATTAGGTCAATATTTAGGAATGTTTTGTTCTCTAAGTTGTGTAGAGTAAGACAAAAAAAAAAAGAAGGAAAATGGGATTAGGAAAGTTAGTGCATTATAGTGGAGGAAAAGAAGAAAGACTTTAAAGGAATGGGGCCCAGTAGAGTACTTCAGAAATACCGTGAGAATTGAGTTATTGGTACAGTGCGTATTAGAGGCAGCTGCAGAGGGTAACCTCTGATTTTTGCCATATTGATGCTCTTGAACTGAGCCAAGTGCAACTGAAAGATTTACGGGAACTAGCGGTGCTCTGCCATTTCTGTAATACTTTGAGCGAGGGGAAGAATGTCTTGAGAGACTGACCACAGACATCTGCAGGCACAGACTTATTTGTCCAAGGTGTATGTGTGTGTGTGTGAGTGTGTGAGTAAGTGTATGTATGTGTATATGAGAGTGTGTGGGAGTGTGTATGTGAATGTGTGTGTAAGAGCGTGTGTGTTTTGTGGTGGGGCAGTAGGAGAGTCAGAGTCGGTCATTCTGGTAAACTCATTAGCTTCAGTAGCCACTGTTCAGTTTCAGCATCTCCCCAACATTAGTCATTTGGGCATCACGTTCAACATTTTTTGCTTTTAACCAATTTTTTTTTAACTTACTTTTAAACCTGAATGTATTTTAAGCAGGAACTTTATATAATCTGTTGAAATCTCAGGTTTCATGTGCTAGTTGTAAGTTTTCCTAATGTACATGGAAAATAAGTATATAAAATTAGCATAAAACCTGCCCCTCTGTGCTCCATCTAAAATTCTCTTGAGAAATGCTCCGTTCATCTAACTTTAGCTCTTCTTTTTAGAGTGGGTACACAGAATTCTGAAGGTAGAAGTTTGACAGGGAAACCCAAAGACTGGAAATAGGGGGTTTTTTTGGTGGAATTTTCTGGACAAATTTAAGATAGTAGATGGGAATTAGGTCTCCTTTGGGTTATCATCCTAATGCAATTTTGGGGTAGATTTCAGTTAAGTTTAATTTCTTTTTCTTTTGAAAAAACTGCTGAACAGTTTTTAAGCTCCAGGAGTTTCTAGGCCTTGTGAGTGTTTTCCTCCGTTAGTTTCCCAGAAAAACAAATTATTTTTTTCTGAATAAGTCTGAACTTGCTTTGGCTTCAAATAAGGGGAAATAAAATTTCACCTTGTTCTTTTTAGTGGTGATACCTACTTTACCAGCTCCTAAACCCAAGAGTCAGTTCAGTTCAACAGTATCTGTGAGCTGCCTTTTGTATGTCAAGCACAGTGCTAAGCTGCGATGCAAAGAGGAAGCTATGGTTCCGCCTTTGGAAGGCACAGCACATGAAACAGTCCAGTGAGATACAGGCATGCGTCAGATACAGGAGAAATTAACTGGGTAGATCAGCAAAGGCCTTCATATAGCTGGAAGAGCAATGGAGGCTGAGTACATTGGGTGTGACATGAGGAAGGCAGTGCACAATTGTGCCACTGTAAATGCTGTGGTCCTTTTTCCTCAGGCGTTCTGCAGAAAGATGACTGTTCTGCAGAATGTCTGTGGGTTCTGCATTGGCCCACATGGTACCCCAACAAGAATTAATGTTTTAAATATGTGGTACATCCTTACTGCCCTGACACCCTCACATGATTTGAAGCAATAACTAGAGAACCTTCAATAACAGTTGGCATGTTGAGATGGCATCATTCGCAAAACAACATCTTAATGAGGATTTATGCTTCAGAAACAACTCTTCTCATTTAAGTACACTTAGGCATGTCCTGAGTAATTGGAAGCAAAGTGGTAGAAGTGCCTGAGATCATAGTATGAGTCTCACATTGTGAAGGACTCTGTAGCATCCCTAACTATCTGAGCAACTCCAGGCCTGGGTAGAGGATGGTATGCATTAGGGAGGAGAAAGGATATCAAACAAAGTAGACTTAGCCATTGTTAGGGAATGTTTGTACAGAATCTGAGATAGAGAAATTCTGGTCTCTACATAGCTTCTTATCCATTCCCCTATAACCCAAACCCTGCCAACCCACTGAGAACTTGAGCTACCCATTCAAATACCAGTAGTAGAGAGAAGATCTTCAATTCCATGCATGTAGGGGTCAGTTAAAGGAGAAACTTACAACCCATCCTAAGCCTGGGTCCCTAAAACCCCACACTGTTAATTGCATTGATGACTGCATCCAATCTTAGATTTTTGAGGATTTAGTATACACAGGCTTGGTGTTTTGTTTTAATTGTTAGCACAGTTATTTTCTGAAAAGAGCTAGAAAAGTAAATCCTGGAGTTGGGGAGGCAAAGTGAGGACTGAGCATTACTGTAGACCCAGCTACATCTCTGTGTTGCCAGATACCACACCCCTCCTCAGAAGACTATTTCTTTTGGCTAGATCTCTGACCTTGAAAGATCCAGCCAGCCGCCTGGAAGCTTTGGGTGCTAGTCATAATATGGGTAGAGTCCAAGAGTTATTTCTATTTTATATATTTTATTTAGCATGGCTCTACTAATTTTTTTCATCACAAGTTCTACTCTTGAAGTAAATTTAAAATGCTTCACAAGCCCTCTGCCAGAAAGTTTCATATATATAGCCTAAAGCACGTTCAGAAATAAAAGGGATACTAGAATTTATGGCAGCATCCGCAAGCACTGCCATACTGCCTTTCTCGTGGAGATACATCAAGTTGAGAATGTGGGTTGATGTCTAATGTGTGTTAAGTTCTTAGTTTTCTTTCTTCTGAATGTGATGAGGCAGTTTTTCCCTGGAAAAATAGTTTGTGTTTAGCTGGGGTATTTTTGATTTTTCTCCATTAGTCTCTCCCTTTAATAATTGAAAACTACTGTTCATTATTTACATAAAACTTTCTTTTTCTGGTCTGCTTTCTATAACCTTTCCCCTCTGAAGAATTTTAAGAATTCCCTGACTTTCCTCTAGGGGATTTATGCCTGCTTTATCCCAGATGTGGGACATAGAGTAGACTGAGGGCTTTTTCCAATGTTCCTACATTTGAAAGATGTTCTTTTAATGTGTGAGCAGAGCTGGCACTGAGAAAATGATTTTTAAGAAAGTTAAGTAGTTAAAATATGTAAGCTTGGTGAGTTTGGTTTAAATGTCTGACTTACATCAAAATCCCATATGCAAAATGAACAGGACAGTAGTTTCAAATACTAAGGGGAAACATCACGTGTTTTATTTCAGCCTTTTGATTCTGGGATTTTATTTTCCTGCTGAGGGCATGTCAGTTTCGAGTCCTGGACACTCCACGTCTGGCCTTTCACTGCACACTTGCTGACATCAGATCAGGGAAGCCATGGGGCTGTCAGATGTTTATCAGCAGCTTTCAGCTTCTCTGTCCCCAACCTCTGCTGACACAAAGAAGTTATCTAGCCGTACTCATGGTGTTTTGTCTTCTGAAATACTTACAGATATGTTGATCCTTATAGCTGTTTCAAAGTGTAGAATTTTGGGATGTGGGGAGAAGTTAAAGAAGGCTGTATTAACTAAGACAGGATTTTCTCTTTTTTCCTAACATCCATTCACATTCCCAGATGATGTTTCACCACCAGCTTTTGGTTTTGTGGTTTTCATATTAATGTCTAAAAAATACTGTAAAGTCTAAAATTTTGTGTGATAAAATGTGAGAAGAACACCAAGGAGAACTTGTCTTCCCTACTTGAGCAAATACACTGTTTCCTTAAGTCCAAAGTTCTGTTTTCCACAATGAATACATGTCTGATGTGTCGTGTTTAATTAATTAATTAAATCATTATGTTTTAGTAAGTTTCTTCCTTGTTCAAAATTTTCTTGTATTTTTATTAAATTTAAATTCATAAGCTTTATTTGTCAACACTTAGACCTTTTCCAAGAAGGGAGGTTGTTACTACCGTATTTCTTACTTTGCCACATTCCCCTGGCTAATGTGTCCTTCTCTTCCTTTCTCCTTCTGTAGGATCTTTCGAAGATGGTTTGGCTGCCTTGGAGATTTGGAGATCTGATGCCACAATGAGGACTCATACACGGGGGGCTCCCAGTGTGTTTTTCATATATTTGTTTTACTTTGTGTCAGCCTACATCACTGACGAGAACCCAGATGTCATGATTCCTTTCACCAATGCCAACTACGACAGCCACCCAATGCTGTACTTCTCCCGGGCCGAGGTGGCCGAGCTGCAGCTCAGAGCCACCAGCTCACATGAGCATATTGCAGCCCGCCTCACCGAGGCTGTGCACACCATGTTGTCCAGTCCCCTGGAGTACCTCCCGCCCTGGGACCCCAGGGACTACAGTGCCCGCTGGAACGAAATTTACGGCAACAACTTGGGCGCCTTGGCAATGTTCTGTGTGTTGTATCCTGAGAACATTGAAGCCCGAGACATGGCCAAGGACTACATGGAAAGGATGGCGGCTCAGCCTAGTTGGTAGATTTTTGTCTTTTACTTTTTACTGTATTGACTGTGCAATTTAAATAACTGAATTCATATTCATATGAAATTTCAGAGACTGGATTTTCACATACTTTGTGTGTGTGTGTGTATGTATGAGTGAAGGGGAGGGGTTACTTGTAATTTGTGTTACCAGTGGCTTATGAATGGTCCATAATTTCAAAAAGACCAAGAAAAGTTCATGTTTAAAATTTTAGAAGGGAAGTGTTTAGATACAACCTAACCAAAGAAAAAATAATTTGCTGTATTAAGTAAATCGTATCATCTTGGTTGTTGAGAATTCTTTCCCCCTTCTTTAACAAACATATATTGCCATCATCTGACCTCCCACTCTGATAGACCTCAAAGTGGTTAATACCTTTTGCCAGCAAGAGATATCAGCCAATTAATATTTATTTGCACTTTATTGACAATTAGGAGCTAAAAGTAAATGTGATAGGTTTAACTGGCAATTTATAAACAAGACCTTACCCAATAACTACCAAATTGTCCAAACTGTAGGAATACCAGTTTTGCAGTTTAATTATGTAAAGGATTCTAAGCATGTAATGATTTACTTTCAGAAGTTCAAGATTTGAGAACAAATTTTTTGTCTCTTTTTGATTAGTTTAAATTTATTTGGTCTGTAATTAATGTGTCTACCTGTTAAAAAGAGATGGGATGAATTGATAAAATTAAGGATTCTATAAATATTCTTTTTTGTTTAATTGAAGTATCACTGATATACAATCTTATATTGATTTCAAATATACAACACAGTGGTTTAACAGTTACCCATATTATTAAATCCTTGCCCCCACTAGTGCAGTTATTACCTATCAGTAGAGAAGGATGTTAGATTGTATGGGTATTCTTACTTAAACTGGGTTTTTATACACATTCATGGTTCAGTTATACTAAAAAAATTACTAAGTATTTTACCAAATTACTAAAAAATAAACTAAAACTATATGAAAGATCCTTTCAAAATTATGTGAGCTACTACTTATCATAAGGCTGGAGAGAGCTCAATTTTAAATGCTTAGAAAAATCAGTGAATGCATTTAATATTTTGATGAATTACATCTCATGTATCAGAGTGGTAAGGAATGGGGTAGTTTCAAGCTTCCTGAATTCTGATAAAGAAATTTAATAATTCCTAACTTTCTGCCAGTATGTTAAGGAGTGCTGTTTGTTACAAAGTTTGAAGGATTTTTTTTGCAGTTTCTTAATAAAAAAGACTATGGAAGAGTTGGCATTAAATCTATGTCAGAGCTGAGTTTTTAAGGCTTATTGTTAAATATGTATAATCATTTTAAAGCTTACAATGTTTTAGGTTGAAAAGGATCTTTTTATTTGATTTGTTTCAAAGCTAAACCATGTATGCAATAGTGTCTGATTTTGACACTAATTAACTGACCTTATTCTATTATTGAAACCAAGAAAGGAAATAAAAGATATATGAAAAATTTTTTGATATTTGAACTACAAGATTATATTTTATCAAATGTTGAAATTACTCATTTAACTTGTACAATTAGCTAAAAATGGCAACCATATGTACTTTATTTAGAAAACCACCTTTGTTGACTACAAGGCTACTTTTTTTATAAGATTCTTTTTGATTTAGATAGATAAGTGAAATTTAACAGATTTAGATATGGATGAAAATGTCCCAAAGAGATACTTACTGTAAAAAACTCACCATTTCATGTCACGAAAAAGTAGCTATGATGTGTCATTTCTTCACTGAGGTTTTTAGCACAAATACAGTAATGTTAGAATATTTGCACAAGACCACTGTAATTTTATTATTGTAATGTAAAACATTCAAGCATATAAATACCAACTTGGATGAGTGCTGTCATTAGAAATGATTAGACTCCTGTGATAAAAGAAGGAAAATAAATAACTTCAAATAAAAATGATAACTTTCTTACAGCTTCTACAAGTTCAGATTTATTGATTATTTGAGATGTACATAAATTTACCAGATAACTGGTACTTTATTCATGGTAGTATTGGTAAAAATAAGTATAACTCTATGCCATAACCAGTAACCCAAAAGCCAGTCTGTGATTTAGTAGATTGAACAGTTGACTTCTTTCTCTTGACCTCATAGAAGCTGAAGGTCAGAAATTGAGAATTTACCTTTTTATCAGGTTTATAGTTCCAGAAGTGATCCTAGCATAAAAATTTAAGCTATGGGAACATTTTATCTTGGCAAGTACTGCTACTAGGTTGTAATTTTCAATGATTTTTATGTAGATTTTAACTTTTTGAAAGCTACCTCACCCAACCCCTAGACTCTTAAATTTTTGTTTAGTTTGTAGTTGAACATAGCCATTTTTTGACAACTTAAAGCACTGTTAAATGTTTTTGTAATCCAACTATCCCAGTTTAAATCAACTAAATCATATGTACCCCCACTATGCACAAAGAAGTATGTTGTGGGTGTTGTCATTGTCTTAGGGTATAGTTCACCTATATTTTGGTTTCAGAGACAAAAAAAGAAAGACTAGCTCTTACTTACCAAACAGATCAATAATTAATATTATGGAATTGAAAAATATAGGTCCCTATAATGGCTTCATCAGACTGAATACATTTACTATTTTCCTTGAACAGCATTTCTACTTTATTGAAAAGCAGTGACTAAATTGAGTTCTTTCATGCATTCAAGTAATAATTATTGAGCATCATTTACATGTCATGCACTATGCTGGGTATTGGAGATTCAAAGATTAAAAAATAACCCAATAATTTATAATTTGCACTTAGCGTAAGGGGTGCAGACATTGGGTAGCTAGGGCTCTATCTTCATCTTAGAAAAGAGTATTAGCATCACTTAAGGGGTTTTATTAGTTTTTGCTCATGATCTGCTAAAAGGTGTGTATCATGTTTCACTCCAGGGCAGTAGAAAAGCACCAACTCTGGAGTCAAAGTGCCTGGATTTGAATCACAGCTCCCCACTCTTCAGCTATCTTACTTCAAACTAACTTGCTTAATTTGACTGGGCCTTAGTGTCCTGATGTGTAAAGTGGCAATAAGAGCAGTATCTACCTCACAGGATTGTTAGGAGGATTAAATGAGATAATGTAAAGTACTTAGTAGAGTTCATGTCACATAATAAGCCTTCTGTTAATCAGAATACTGACACTAATGTTAATAATGTTAATTATTGTTACTGTTATTTACTGAGTACTTAAACCTTGTTTGTTTTATAATTTGGTATATTAGACTCTAAAGAAATAGTATTTGTTTGGGATTTATTTGGAGACTTTACTCATCATTGTTCAAATTGCTCTCACAACTAGAACATCTGTTTAATGACAAAATTTTTATTTTACTTCTGGCTTTGTTCCAGTAAAACTTCCAAGGATGCTCCCCTGGGCTCTTTTTTATGCATATACAAATCTGATGGTAGCACCAATGAGCAAGGCTTAGGGGAGAGTAACAATGATGTGTCTTTTGTCTGGTATTAAAAAGAAATACATCTAAGATATAATACATGCATATAAAGTTATTAATGTGGTTCATTTCACTTGAATACTTTGTCAATAAGAGCTAAGAGGTACCATCTATAGATTCATTATTTAAGAATTTTGGACCTTTGTAAAAGAAAAGTTAAATGGAAAATATTATCTAATTATACAGATCTTCTTATATGTCCTTCTAATAGAAGATACTACAGAGTAGAAAAGGAATCTTGATAATGATGATGGTAGTGGTTAAAAAATATCACTGTGCAGAACTTCTTTCTTCTTTAGCTTTATATTTGTGCATATCTCCAAGCACCCAGATGAACTGGGCACCAGAGTGATAAGATCTATCCATGTGCTGTATCTGCCTTTGCAGAGATGCCTACATTCTCTCTTAGAAGCTTTCTCCTTTTGTTCTTCTGCCTTCTGCTAATGCTGATATGTTCTTCGTAACAGTAACAGAGTGGTTTAAGATTGTTCTTAACTTAGTTCTAAAAATAAAATTTAAAAAGATATTATTTTAAACGATATATACAAAATAGCAAATTGTTTTCAGCATCAATAGTAATGTCTTCGATCTTCGAAGCAAGACTTTCTCTTCCCTATACATCTTGTTTTCCAAATGAGAGCTAGGATTTGGGTAGCATTTGGTTCTGTGTCATATAAAACCTTGATTTGAACTTAATACCTAACCACTTTAAGAAAGCCTGATGAGCTGAGATCATAAATCTAGAGCTGGTAACAATACAAAATGCATTTTATTGCACTTAAGGTGAATTCATTTTTTTATGTAATATCACCTAGTCCCTAGAGCAAGTTATATGTATGCCAGTTGGCGCATGGGGTTTTCTCATTTACAAATGGTTGCTTTCTGAATTCAATCCTTATACAACTAAGAACATATTTGGACCTCAAATAACTAAAAATTCTCCCTCATTTTTTTTCCCCCAAAGGCTTAAACTTTAAGGTAGGAAAATAATAAAAAAGCTTTTCTCAGTAGAGATTTATAAGAGATTTTCAAAATAATAAATTTTTGGAGTTTTTGGAGTTGGCACATGTTACTCTTACCTAAAATTTTCATATGTATGTATATTTTTATTTACTTATTTATACTTATTTCTACTCTACCTTTCTTCTCTGAAATTAAGTCAACATGAAATACAAGATTCAAATTAGAAGTAGATGAGAAAGAAAAGAGGGAAGAAAAAGAATTGGGACCATCACCTCGACTAGGAAGAAGCCAGTTGCTGAAATGCATCTTACCTACCATGAATAAGTTGCAAGACTCCCAGAGTTTTGTTAGCAGCAAAGAAATTAGACTTATTTAGTTTGAAGTATTGAGTGCCCATGGGATTAAAAACATACCAGTTACTCTGTAGAACTATAAGGATCAGAAGGAATTTTTTTTTGCCAGATTGGATTGAGGGCAGGGCCATGTTTGTTTTGCTCATGCATGTATTCCCTAGCTCTTAGTATGGCATCAAGTAGGTCTCCATCGAATGAATGAATGAATGA